TCAATTTCATTATTAATGATTTGTTTTAAATGTACACAGTTTGTTCTAAGTGGATGAGTCTTCTAATAATTCATCAAAAGCAGCAGGACTGGCTAACTTTGTCAGCTACATAGACAGGTCCGCTGACTTTTCCCGTAGCTGAGAAGCATTTATTTCATGAATAGAAATCCCAAAACACTTCAAATACACTTTTTACCCTTTGGGTATATTTTCTTTCTTTGCTTCTTTTGCTATTAATATTAATGTAATATATCTGGTTCTAACTGTGAATTTAATCAAATTCTTATTCATTTGTCTTCACTTTATTCCTAAGGCCAAACTCAAACTCTGGCTAATTCCCATCAGATATTTCATTCTCATAAAATACCATCCTCATTGTCTCTCCTATTGATGGATTAAATGACATTATGTAACTGTGAGGCATTTAGAACACTTTTTAAAATCTGATTTTGCCTACTGGTTGTCAACTGACCAACAGTCTGCAATGTTACATGCAGTATCCTTACATGAGGAACGTGCCAGACAGAGTTGGTTCCCTTCTTAACAGCCATTTCCTCTTGCTTCTTGGTCAAAGAGTTTCCATTTTTGCAGGCATAGGCAGAAATAGACTCTTCCCCCAGCCCAGGCTGATTAATCTTGACGGTTTCCCTTTCCTTTTGCTGTGATTTAGGGGTGGGCATGAGGTAGGTATACAAATTTTCCCAATCACTCAAATTTACCCAATAACTTTGAGACAATTTATGCTCCTGGTAAAACAAGACAAATGATGAAGAAGAGCGTCTGTGCTCTCTTCTTCCTATTTTAGACATCGGGCACATATGTGATGTTTGCAGTTGCGGCAGGCATTTTGTAGCCATGAAGAATTAAAAAAAAACAGGAGGCGGAGGTTGCGGTGAGCCGAGAAAAAACAAAAAAAAACCAGACTGGGCAACAAGAGCGAAACTCCAAAAAAAAAAAAAAAAAAAAAAAAAAAAAAACATAAACCCACAAAATCTTGAGAACAAGAGAGGAGGCAACAGCAAGAAATGTTGGAAATTGAAAAACAGATGAGGGGTAACTGATGACAGATCCTGGAAAGTTGAATTCTAAACTGGCAGTGAAGAAAGCTGAGAACGAACCTAATTAACACTTGAGAATTATCAAAGGTCTTAGGAACAGGGAGTGGAAGAAGATAATACATAAGGAGACAGCAGTTAATACCTTTCCTCTTTCCTCATTCTGTATAGATACACCAGTTAACCCTCTCCCACACCAGAAAATACTGATGATTTATTTTCTGAAAACAGCAAAATAAAGTTCTCTAGACTTGAGGATAGTTAAGGTCATGGATACTGTAGTGAAATTAAGAGTATTAAGTAAGTATCAAGTAGCTATGTGTTCATTAAAGGCTGAGACCCTCGCCCTCTTATCTCAAAACATTGACAATGAGGCCTTAATCCTCCAGGCAGGTAATTGGAATACTTTCTAAGTAATCTAACCAAGTGAAAGGGGAAGACCAAAAAATACAGATATGGGGGTGGTGGATAATCAACCAGGACATCTACAGTGAGGTCCCCAAAGTGGAAGGCTTTACCCACACTCAGAACAGCAAATTGTCTTTAGGAGCAGATAACCAAAGATTTCCAGTCATCTCAGAAAAGCCCCTAGAAATGACATCAGAATCCAAACAGAAGGGGAAAAAGCAAAGCAGCTTGAAGGAAATGGAAGCTGTAGAAGAAAACTTCAGAAAGACTCCCTGATAGTATCAAAATGAAAATATTTTGTTTCCATAAAACAAGAACTAAATCCTATCATACCAGTGTAAGAATGACCACTTGATACTTTAAAAGTTGCTAACATAATTAATAGCTCAAAATAAGGAATGGAAGATAAATTTATAGAAATCTCCCAAAAGTAAAGCAAAAAGACAAAGCTATAGGAAATAGCAATTAAAATTTTTTTTTAAACTAGCCCAGGTCAGGCGCAGTGGCTCATGCCTGTAATCCCAGCACTTTGGGAGGCCAAGGCAGTGGATCACTAAGTCAGGAGTTCAAGACCAGCCTGGCCAAGATGATGAAACCCCTGTCTCTACTTAAAAAAAAAAAAATACAGGCTGGGTGCAGTGGCTCACACCTGTAATCCCAGCACTTTGGGAGGCCAAGACGAGTGGATTACCTGAGGTCAGGAGTACAAGACCAGCCTGGCCAACATGGTGAAACCCCGTCTCTACTAAAAATACAAAAATTAGCCATGTGTGGAAGTGCATGCCTGTAACCCCAGCTACTCAGGAGGCTGAGGCAGGAGAATCACTTGAACTTGGGAGGCAGAGGTTGCAGTGAGCCAAGACCGTACCACTGCACTCCAGCCTGGGCAACAGAGCAAGACTCCATCTCAAAAAAGAAAAAAAAAAATACAAAAAAAATTACCTGGGTGTGGTGGCACGTGCCTGTGATCCCAGCTACTCGGGAGGCTGAGGCAGGAGAATCACTTGAACCAGGGAGTCGCAGGCTGCAGTAAGCCAAGATCGCACCACTGCATTCCAGCCTAGCGACAGAGCAATATT